ATTAAAAAAATTTTACCGTTGGCCACTGTATACATACCGAGGTCTTATTCAAGAACTTCATTTTTAAAATTGAATAAACCAGGCACTACGAATTCAGCAATCTCATTGGTGAAGAAGGGAGCCATTTATGTGGTATATATATATATATATACTATTTTCGGGGAATAGGTATACAGTGGCCAACGGTAAATTTTATATTTAACGCTAATGCACAGTATTGGTTTTAGAACACGATTTTGAAAAAAAACCAGAATATGATCAAAAAAAAAAAAGGGTATAGATGGACATCATGCGCATGGTGTGCGTGATTTGCATGGCGAACAAACTCAACAATATCAGCTGATCCTAATACCGAATTTAATAACACTATATGGTACCCATCTCTAGTATAGAGTAACAACATGGTTATACAATAATTAATGTCTTTTTAATAAGGTACTTTTTGATTTTGAAACTCTTCAGAGATCTTTATATAATGTTATTATTGTTTAATGTTAGAAACGGTCTAATTTTCATATTTACTTGCTTTCGAAAAGATACTCTAAACTGTATACCAATCAGAAGATCTCTTAGCCTGACATTATTATTGGTTAAAAATTTCCGAAATTAAAAGCAGATATATTTATCGTCGGCAATTAACGTTAATATAATGCAGACGTTTTTTAATATAAAAAATGCATGCACAAAGGGGCAAACTAATTGAATTAAATGATTGCCAAATAAAAAAGGAAATTTGATAATGTGCTAAGAATATATATATATATATATATGTATACGTATTTAAGTTTATACTGTTACATATTTTAAAATAGCTCGTCCAAATATAGCACTAATTAAATAAGTTATTATACAGAATAATTAATCAAAAGCTCCATAAAAAATGTCAGTTGATGAAAATATTGTTAGGTACAATATAACTAAACAAAATTTATACGTTAATTTTAGAAGTACAAAAGTTTACTTGCGTGTTTAGTTCTAAATGATATTTAAAATGATGTCAATGTATAAATTATGTCAAATTTATTTAACGTGAAAAATAAATTAATTTAAACATTTTATAATCCTTTCTATTGCGGATTTTAATTTATCTGGTAACTGGTTTTGTTCTAATAATGAAGTTAAAGGCGGTAGAATACTTTCTTTAAGATATTGTTTTCCTGATTTAGACAGTAAATTATTAGAAGAAATTTTGAAAGTAAAAAATTGATAAAATATGTAATCCAAAAAAAAAATAAATAAAATACTCACGAGCTCCACATGAAGCCTTCACTGATTTCTCAAGTAACAAGCATACATTGCATTTAATTTCATCAGCATATTTATCCCGTTCACTCAATATCATATCAAATAATGATTTAAGTAAGGGAGATATTGAAGAGTGTTCTTGTTGTGTTGCTGCTGTTGATGAGTTTGAAGGAATAATTTCATCATTAACCACCGAATGAGTTATCGGTTGTGATGCAGTATTGTCATCTATTTCTTTACATTCGTTTTTTGATGTCAATATATTTAAGGCGGGATTAGAATCTAGTTAATTGAAATATTAATGTTTTAGATATATAATTACAAATTTTATAAGCTTAAAATTTTATAAAGAAAATATTCTTAAAATATCACCTCCATCTCCAGCCGAATCATCCATCAGTAGCAATGTTAAAGCAATTATACCTTCATTTTGAAGGATTGGATATTTAGACTCTATAATCATGTTAGCAAGAGGTTGAACAACTTCTTGTCTATTCAATTCTGAACGCAATGAAGACACTGGAGTTCCTTCTATAAATATCAAAATCCCCAATATTATAAAAAAATTTATTATGGATTTAGAGTAAACGATAGAAGTATAGGAATAGGTATATTACCTAATACGGTATTAGGATTTTCAACCCACATGTTCTTAACAAGATTAACAAGTATTCGCGTTCCTTCGCTGCGAATGGGTAAGTCATCAGTACGCTTAATTAAATTCAATAGACGCGTAAGTGGTTTTTCTGCATCATTTTCATTTTCTCCAAGAATTATTTTCAGGGAATTTTTAACTAATAGAAAGTAAAATTTTACCAACACAATTTAAATATAGTAACGAATTATATATGGAGGACGTAAAACAAACCATTTTGAGATGAAAGATGTTTAAAAATTCCAACCACAGCAAATTGGAGAGGTTGAACAGTATCCTTTTCGAGTAATGGCGATGTAGCTCCAATAATTCCGGATGATCCAATAATATCTTTGTTTTCAGCTATTCAAATAAGTTGCAATAAGATGAAAGTTTTAAAGAGAATGTATATATATGTGTATACTTGAGATAGATATTCCTTAAGATATTACCTGCGATTGATAAATTCTTCAATGCGCTAATAGCAGCATGTTGTACTTTGATATTGCTCGAAGTTTTCAGGGCATTAGCAAGGGGCACTACGATGTGAATATCGTGAACTAATTTTATGCAGTGTATATCTTTTTTTGATGTTAAAATTAAAAAATATAAATAAATAAATATATATGTGTGAAATTTAGGGAGAGGCCAAAATGTGAAGTATGAAAAATTGAAATATTACCACTTCTAGCGAGATTACCCAAAGACAATGCTGCACACATCTGTAGGTCATCACGTTCTGGTCCCAATTCTAGCCAATTAAGTAAGCGATTCAATATGGCTGTATCATCAAACAAAGGGTCCATGTTTTTATCTTAAAAACAAAGAAATATAATTACACAAATATTCATAGGTTAACTACTAATCAACTAATATAGTGTAAAGAAGAATTACCACTCATTGTAGTCGAAACAATTACTTTCAACACGGCAGCTTTAGATTCACCATAAATCTTATCAATTCGTTGATCACACCCTTCTGGAGGTTTTGAATGTTCTAAAAAGTCCAATAAACTACAAAATAATTTATCTTTGACCAGAATTTGCTGCACTTCATCTTGTATAAATAAATTGAAAATGTTAAAAGATATTAATCGAATCTAATACATGCGAATAGTCTACTGTAAAACCGCGAAATAATGCATAATTGCGCGTTCTTTCGAGCACCTACGCGTTATTTAAAGTACGCCTATGTGCGTTATTTCGAGATAAAGCTTCTGAGGCTGACTATTATTGTATTATAAATCCGCTAATATATTATATTATTTTGAAATTAAATAAACTATTTTTTAAAGGATTGGATTTTCGAAATAACAATCATGAATGTTATTTCGCGGTTTTATGATATTAAGATCTATATGCTCACCGTTGTCTATAGCAATATTTTCCAAAATATCTACCACATTCTCAATAATATCTACATCTTCACTTGTTGCGTTATCTGAAGATGCATAAGAAAGTAGATGCGTTAACGCAGTAATCACTTCAGTAGTTGCACATTTCGATTTGCCTTCATCTATGAATTTAACGATTGTGTAAGTAATAATGTAGGTATCAAATAAATAATAAAAAAGAAAATAAAATAAATCCCAACCGGTTCCTATTAAATTTAACAATACTCTCGTGGCAAAATAAACCGTCGTTCGTGCTATGTCAATACTTTCAACATACTTTTTCAAAATATTTTCCGGTTCAAAAAGATTGGAAAGCGCGATAATCCCATCCAATTTTATAATCTCAGAATTAACCTGATCTGATAAAATATGTATTTACATTTAATATTTATGAAAATATTTGTATTTTCACAATGAACATCAAATATCACAAGAAAATACCATATTGAAGACCAGCATTTAATAATACAGCACAAGCAGCACGGATATCATCTAGATTTTCCTGCTTTCTCAAACATACGATAACAGCATTTATACCACCTGAATCTAGAATTCTTTGACGATTTATATCTTTAGAGACAAATTGAAAATACGTTAGTTATAATAAATACAAATAAAAAGTTTTGTTTTATTTTTATTTACCGCTGTTAATACAAAAATTTGCGAGAGCTCGAAGGCATTGATAATCAATCGAATGATATGATTGGGAGTCATTAAGTTGCATAAATTGAACTATTAAATCTACAGCACCAGAGGCTCCAAGTGGATCGCGTGAAATTTCTATTTATAATAATAGTATAAAATTAAAATATAAGATAACCAGATTTAAAATTCGATAAATTCAGTATCAAAAAAGAAAATATATATTACCATTTTTCGCAAAATTTGCAATCATTTCTACTGTTTTTAAAACTTTAGACCAAGCATTTGATTTACTTTCTGAAGTCGAGCTCTGGTTTGATATTATTTTCTTGCAACTTTCGAGACCAGCGATTAGTGGAGGAAGAGACTGAATCAGTTCATTATCGGGATCTGAATAAGTTCACAATAGAAAGAAGCAAAATCCCGATAAGCTTTGATGTTAATTTCCAAATGAACACGATCGGAGATAAAAATTCTTGCCTTTTGAAATGTTTAATTGTTTAAATAAATCGTCGAGATTTTGATCGACACCATTCGAATCTAGAGGTTTGTACACATCATTAGCGAACTGTGATTCCATTTTTGACGGGAGAATTGCATAACAAACTTACGATTACTTAAATCGTTAGCCATGTTAATCAGTAGATGATAAAAGAATTTTAGAATTTATATGGATGAACATCTGAACATCTAACCTTATTTGTGATTGGATAGAAAATATAAAAAGTTAGATCTGTCAGACCTGTCCAACAGAACGCAAATTTCCACAAACTTTCCCTCTTTACATTTTAACAATATTTTTGGATACTTTGTTGCACTACTTTAGTCTAAAAAAAACAATATGGAACTAACTTTATTTGTCATAATAAACTCAAAATTTTATGCAGTCTATTCATCCACCTGTTCTTACTCCTCACCTGTCTCCCATTTTTCACAATTTTCTATGCTCTTATTAACATATCCGAGTTGTTTCTTCTATATATGCCACTTCAACGTTGGTTTTTCGTGAAAGATATCGCTAATAGTAACTTTTTTCATCAAAGTATTCTAAATTACGTTACCAGAATCTTTCCCGTTTCAAACCAAATGAGTGAGCAAACAAATAGGCACTCACTTTCCATTCGATCTACAGACTCAGAAAGCACTGAAGAAAAGAACTCAGCAACACTTACTACTATTGCAGCAACTGAAATTCCGGAAAAAACAAATACGATTTCTGCCGACGATGTTGACCTTTACCCTAAAGGGTGTCACGAGGTTGGAGGAAAAGGATTGCAGTTTGAGGATCGTTTTGTTGTAAACTTTTACAATACGACAAATAATTCCAATGTTGAAATGCGCGTAAATCCCGAAACTGCAAATACAAACATACCTAAAAATACCAGAAATGTTTATTATAGAAACAACTCAAACACCATTAGTACAAGTTCCAGCGAACGTTTTTTTAATCGAATAAGACCTTCTCCACAAACATTATCCACCATAATTATCCCTATAATTATATTTATATTGGGTATTATTATGGGTTTAGCCGTATTTTTCGTGATACTAGGCCAAGAACGTAGACGGTATAGGTTGGATTTTGGATACTATTGCGAAGAAAGAATGAATGCTATTA